GCGATGCCAGAATACTACAGTTTCAGTAACACCAGCTTAGACCATACCGCATGGAGCGATGGCACGCAGAGTACGGAGGCAGGCTACAATGATTCAGTCATGGCCACCAAAGGCAGTTCAGAAATATCAGATGAACCATCAAATGCCACCATGGCCACTGCTGCAAACTCTACTGATTGTTTCTCTTGCCTTAGCAATTCTTTCGAGCTGGATAATGAGTCAGGAGACTGTCAAGAAGACCTGAGAAAGAAGCATGACTCAATATATGAGCAACAGATTGAGGAGATCAATGTGGGAACTCCACTGAAATCCAAATGTGGTGCTTCAGATTTTGTGGACCAAATAATAGATGCCTGTGGTGATTTCAGAGCTTGTTTCACATCTACATGTGCGACAGAGGTTGATCAGATTTTCCAAATGAAAAATGTTGCCACTGACATGGACTTGCTAGCTGTCAGCCATGAAAAAGATACACAGACTGTGCAAATAACCACATCTGAAAAGAACACCATTACTGAAGTCTGCATGTCTGATTTAGATGTCCTCGCTGAGGTATCATATTTATTTCCTAAATGGGATTGTTGGAGTAGTATTTATTTATTTTTTTTAAATGAGCTGTGTGTAACTTACTGGGATACTTTACTCCTAGGAATTCATAAAGCTAAAAGAGACAACAAATGAGCGGAAACAACTGAAGAGCAGAAAGGCAAGGTAATGTGCTTAAAGTGTGTACCAAAAATGAAAATTGGCATTTACTCACTCTCATGTCGTTCCAAACCCATAAGACTTTCGTTCATCTTCTAAACACAAACCAAGATTGAAAGTGCATTCCACCAAAACTTTGACACTTCAAAAAATGTATAAAGAAATTGTAACCAACGTAATCAATATAAATTGAGCAGTTTAAACCAATTCTGACAAGATGCAATCACTTTATATGATGAACAGATTTAATTTAGGCTTTTTATCGCTCTGATCGCTCACATACTGCACTTGGATCACTCATTAAATATCATAACAGTTGAGCTTCCGTTTCATGCTTGACACATAAAAACAAAACTCATTGGTTGTCGCACATCAAGCAAGCACATCTGATTTTCCATTTCCATCGTTTTTGATGTGCTTTATGTATGTGTGTTGATTGGTGTTTAATTGTTTTGATTTTACTTTATTTTTTTTTACAAAAGTAGCAATTAATATTTCTCAGTGTCATTTTTCAAGTGTAAAATGTGCAAACTAATGTGGATAATGTTACTTTTTTTTACATTAATTAGAGGTTATAGAGCTTGCTTATAGGATTTCCTTTTGTACATAAGGTACAGGAAATGAATAAATTAGGACAATTATAATTTTAACTGTAAAAATATCTTCAGTAAAATATTAAACATCCATAGGATTTCACTTTCTGAGACATCGAGTGCCCCTTGAGTAAGACTAATTTGTATTACAGTTATTAGCTTTGTGAAACCATACTTCAGTCTTCATCAGTTCTCTGCATCAAATAATTTGTTGTGGTTTCACTGTAGCAATGTGTTTTAAAATATCTAGAAGGATCATGTCAAGTTTCATGTTATGTTCTTCTCAGCGCTAGTCCTGGTGGTGAGCACTGCAGGAGAGTTTGTGAGTGTGACTGTGTCCAACAGCTGAGAAGAGCAGAAATGCGTCTTCTCGCTCTTCAGTTTGTCATGTGTCAGCAGCAGTGCTGGAGACACTACTTCACCTCCCCACTGGGTGAAAATGCTCTTTGGGGGTAAGAGATGGCTCACAGAAAAACGTGTATTATGACAATTCAATTCTTTTCTATTAAGGTATTCTGTCCTAACCTTTGAGGTCAGCTATTTTCGTATGTTCCTTAGGACTGAGGGCCTGCCAGACAGCATAGCAGAAACACTGAAAACACTACAGAAAGATTACCATGAGATGAGGAAACAGATTCTAGCAGGCACTCCTCTGGATAACCTCAAGCCCCTGTCAGTAGACTCTGAAAAGATAACTACAAGGGCAAACTACAGCCCAGCACTGGTATGACAAAATTTAGAATTGTTCAAAATGTAGAAATGTATCATATCTGATATATATATGTAGTAGGTAATGAAGTGTTATTTCAGGTGCTTGAGGCCCATTTTGACTCATTTGACCTTCCAGGAAGGTAGGTGGCCACGATATTTCAAATAAATATCCTTGAAAGTAACCTTTCCACAGAAGTCGTAAATCTTGCTTTCCCTGATATGAGTTATTGTTTGAGATGTCAAAGAAAGCATAATTCCACTGGGACGCTTGAACATTGTGCTGCCACATTGCACTTTACAGCCAGGACACTAGAGGGTGACAGTATGTAGACTGTGTTAGTGGTTCAGTCAATACTTTTCTTTATTTACAAATCAAAACCTCCTGGAAATGTCTAATAATAACAGTAATGACATTTATAATAAAACATTTCATTAATTTCAAGAAGTGCTGTTCTTTTGAACTTTATCTTCAAAAAATGCTGAAAAAATTGTTTGCACACAAATATTTAGTAGAACAACTTTTTTCAACATTGATAAGAAATGTTTGTTGAGCACCAAATCAGCATATTAGAATGATT